AATACTCTGGCCCGATGGATCCCGACCACGCGTCGCCGGAGGAGTTGTCAAGGGATGAAGTCTGGAGTTATCTTGATCAGGTGCTATAGTTGGGGGATGATGAGTCCCTCGAAGGGACGCCCGGACCTCTCCATGTCGCGAAGTTGTCTGATCTAGTATACTACTTTCCCGTGACCTTTTTCCTTTCTGTTTTGATCTTTAGATTGATTTTAAGCCACCTGTTTCGCAGGGGCTCGCGGGCTATAAATTCCGGCCACATCTTCTAAGAGGGGTGGAAGGTGTGGCTCGACAAGCCACCCAGAGGGAGGCCACGCTTGCCAAGAGGAAGAAGAAAACCGTGAAGGTTCGGAGGAGGTTTGAGAAGGAGAAGGAGATCAACCGGTGGTTCTACGACGGCGAGAGGCTGAGAGGAGGTGGAGGAGCTCGAGTCAGATGACCCCACGGAGTCAGGTGATGATGTAGGTTCCTCAGAGGACGAGGGAGACAAGGGCGCTATTGTGACCTTGGTGGAGCGTCGCGCGCCTGCGGCTGCACCTATCGATGGTGGGCGCGGTATGGAGACGCGCGGTGACGCTCCTGAGTCAAGGAAGCACGCCGCAGGCGAGGATGCCACCCATGAACAGGGAGGCGAAGTGGTCACGGTCACCGTGCCCTTCGAAGGCATCGTCGCTTCGTGGTCCCCTGCTCCGAGTGTGGCGAAGCACGCCGATCGGTCGGGGGACGTGATCGTTCCCCTATGCCTTTGGGGTCGACGCGTGTGCGCGACCCCCAACGGGGACATGCTCTGCCAGTTGCTCCAGTGGTTTCACCACAAGCTAGCCACCGCGGCCATTCGCTGGCCGAACGGGGACCGACCGGGTCGCCCCCACCCTCAGTTGATCTGAGGGGGCATGGGTCGTGACCCACGAGCGATCCTCATCCGGTTGGCTCGTCATCAGCCGATCAAGGCTTCAAGGTTCTACCGCTTTCGTCTGGGTATATATTCATGGTTCCCATTGTTCTCATAGTTGAGTTTTTGAGTGTGACTAACCTGCGCTTGTGCCTTTTTGTTTGTGGCCAGGAGCCGGTAGGACTGGGGATCTCCCCACCTCCCATGCGAGAAGAGTGGAGACCAGGCCTACGGCAGGTTACGACGAGCGATGGGGGAAGCAGGATGGTGGCGGCGCGACCTTCCTTAATGGGGGTTGTGTCTTCCCGACCGGTCGTGACCATGGTGGCGGCCGTGATGGTGGCAATCCCCATAGTGACAGCAGAGGTCGGGTCGGAGATGACTCTTGTGGTCCCTCCTCCACCAGTCACGGAAGTGGAGAGGAGGGAAACTAGGCTCCCCGTCTCGCTCGGTGGAGGGGCGCTTGGTTCCACCACCTGGTCAGAGCTGGAGGGGGCTAGAGGGGTCATGGCTAGGGCAGAGGTAGAGCAGTCACCGGTGAGCCATGGCATCCTGGTGGTGGACATCCCCTCCAACGGTGAGGAAGACACCGGGGTGATGCCGCCAGTCGTCCAATCGTCCCGGGAGCGGGCGATGATCCCATCGTCGGTTAGTGCTACGATGGCTGGATCTTCCGGTGGGTCACGGGCGACTCGCAAGCTGGTGTGGCCTCACCCTAGCGAGCCGAGAAAAGCTCGGTTCGTTCTTCACAATGAGGAGGAGGTGAAGCTTTGGCACCTGCTTAGGGAGAGAGGGCTGTCGATGGGGTCCAATCTCGCTCTTACTAGGGCGAAGCTCAAGGAGGCCTTGGAGAGGGTTGAGCTCCTCCATCAGGCCATGACCGTCGACCTATCCCATGTTGTGGAGCTAAGTTTTCTGCGTTCATGGTGTTGTCTTTTGATTTCGTCCATCAGGCCGTGACAGTCGTCTTAAAACGCCTGCTTCTTGTCACGCAGGACTTGGAGACGATGTCGATCCGCAAGTCTCGGTTTCTCCTAGAGGAGCACAGTCGGATGGAGAAGAAAGTGGCAGCGTCACGATGGGTCGACGAGCTTAGGCGCAAGCTAGAATCCGACCGCCGTGAGTCCCAAGACAGGTCAGCAGAGGCGATGGAGCCCGAGAAGCGGAGCGGCCCACGGTCGAGCGGGCGACTGCTGCCGAGCAGAAGCTTCATGCGGCACAGGCTCACTTGGCGGGGACTGAGGCAGCGCTCCGAAAGTCCTTGGAGGCTCTGGAGGCGGAGCGGAAGGCCCAGTCGGACGCCGAGCAGGAAGTGGTCGTGCTCCAGGGGCAGATGCTCAGGGTAGAGGAGTCGACTGCTCGATTGCTCGAAAGGGTGACCAAGCAAGAGGAAGGGCTTACCGTTCTCGAAAGTGCCCGCCTCAGTACGTACCTATCCTATCCTCGATTGATGTCTTGAAATTTTCTTTTCCTTACTCCTGAATCTGTCGTTCGTTTCCAGAAGTAGGTGGAAAGGTCAGCTCGCTGGAGCAGGAGCTGGAAGCAGCCAGAGTGATGGCAGGTCAGAGCGTGGAGGCACTGGCCCGGTCCCTGGAGGAGCAAAGCATTTTCGAGGTAGAGCTCGACCAACTCCGCAACATCACGCAGGTGGTGGTCGCTGAGGTGTTCGGGTCGGGCCCTAGCACCAGCACGCCCGCCGTCCAGCTGGCGGAGGTCCCAAACGAGGTTTGGGCGCTCATCTCCTATGACATGTTCTACGGGCGTCAGGGGTGCTAACGTTGGTGGTGACCCACTACCCTTACCTGGACTTTGCGGCCGCCTATAGAGGATATGCCAACGGGTGGAGTGCAGACGAGATCTAGGTGCTGGGGGAAAACTTGGCGCCGCATGCACAGGTGGTCGCCAAGCAGGTCATCGTGCGATGAGTGATGGAGGCTCGTCGCTCGACGGTGGCCGTAGGTGCGCGCCAGGAAGACATCGTCCAACCTACCATGAAGGAGGCCGGGTCGGAGGCGAGCGTCGTCCCGCCCGCAACCGAGCCAAACATCGTTCCGACCGTAGCTGAGCCGAGCGCCGTTGTCCCGACCACAGCCGAGCTGCCTTCATCTTTGTCGGCCGCACCGTCCGCCGATATGACCAGAGGACCACAATAGAATTGTATAAAAGTAGTCAGTCTTTGTAAAAGGATAAATTCATGGGGGGAGCCCCCGTGTGAATAGTTTATGTTCTTTTGTGATGAAATCAATCGTGAAAGGAAGCTTGTCCCGCCCGCCCTTATTTTTATCCTTGCGTAACTTTGATTTTTGTCCTTTGCTTTTCACACCTGCCCGTTGACCGTGGGCTGCAACCTTAAGAACCCAGGTGTGGCCGACGAGGCTCAGCTGCTCGTAACCTTAGGTCGTGGCGGGGTTTGATCGGTCGGGAGGCTAAAGCATAAGTTACCTAGGGTAGTCAAAGGAACGGGACGCCCTTTTGTTTGGGCGAAAAGTGTTACTGAACGACAGTAAAGAGGGAGTAGTATCACACCCCCGTGGAGCCCCCCACCGACCCAGGCCGAGAGTGCTCGGGCTGGGGTGCTGTAGGAGCAAGTTTTAAATAGAAATGAGCGGTAAAGACCGAGCTTAGGGAAAGAAACGACGTAATTGTTCGATGTTCCATGTGTTGGTAAGAACATTGTCGTTGTCGTCCTTTAGCCGATAGGCACCCGATCGGATCACCTCGACCACCGTGTACGGTCCTTCCCATGGTGGAGAGAGCTTGTGCTTGTCCTTGGTTGACTGGGTCTTCCGGAGTACGAGATCACCGACCTCGACGGTCCTCCCCCTGATTTTTCTCTTGTGGTACCTGCGGAGAGTTTGTTGGTAACGAGCGGAGCGGATGGTGGCCGTCGCACGAGCCTCGTCGAGCAGGTCGACCGCGTCCTACTGAGCCTCCGTGGCTCGGTCTTGGTCGAAGGCCCTCACTCTTGGGGCGCCGTGATCGAGGTCGGGTGGCAACACGGCTTCAGCTCCGTACACCAGGAAGAAAGGGGTGAACCCCGTGGATCGGTTTGAAGTCGTTCTTAGGCTCTAGAGGACTGTCGGGACCTCTACAAGCCATCGCTCGGTATACTTTTTGAGTCGGTCAAAAATGCGGGGCTTGAGTCCTTGGAGGACCATGCCATTGGCCCGTTCGACCTGACCGTTAGTACACGGGTGTCCGATGAAGGCCCAATCGATCCTGATGTCGTATCCATCACAAAAGTCTAGGAAGTTCTTGCCGGTGAAGTTGGTTTCGTGGTCGGTGATGATACAGTTAGGAACACCAAACTGATAGATGATGTCGATGAAGAACTTGACCACCTCTTTCGAGCGGATGTTGGTGATGGGCTTCGCCTCAATCTACTTGGTGAACTTGTCCACCGCCACGAGTAGGTGAGTGAAGTCACCTGGGGCCTTTTTGAGGGGCCCAACCATGTCGAGGCCCCAAACCGCGAATGGCCAGGTGATGGGGATGGTTTATAGCTCCTGCACTGGCAAGTGAGTTTGCCAAACATAGAACTGGCATCCTTCACATCTGTGGATAACCTTCTCTGCGTCTCGAAGTGCAGTGGGCCAGTAGAAACCTCAGTGAAAGGCTTCCAACAACCGTGTGATGATAGCCCAGGAAACAACCTTGCATTTTGACAGGTAGACAGTCCCGAGAAAAAAAACCGTGTGTCGAGGCTATCCAAATGACAGGTAGACAGTCCCGAGAAAAAAAACATCACATTAATTGTCCACCATGCATTTTGAAGGCAATTCATTTGCATAGTAGTATGCCTAGTCTAACAGATGCTTCAACTGCATGTATCTTTATGTGCTTTTATATACCTGAACGAATGATGCCATAGATGACCTAGTGAAAGGTGCATGCTCGTACAAAAATAAGTTGAGAATCTCACTACGGAAGCAACGAGATATTGCTATGCCCAGCTCACAGTTCAGCAGGGACTAGAACAAAATTGTCAGCTAGATGTATCACCCTCATCACGTGATGCAGATACGATGAAATGTTCCGAGCTCCCAATTTGGTAATCACTGAAGCCTTACATGCACCAAACAAAGGCATAGACACCGTCACTGACTCACTTCTATGGGGTTGCAATGTAGAACATAAATATCCTACCAAATTTCCTGTCATCAGTTGGGCAGCCAACCTGATTACAACACAGGTGATCAAAGAGGCAGTACAAAAGTCACATTCCTGGTATTAAACTAGAGGCCGCTGCTTGTTTTCCTCGGAATCAGTTTGGTCTTCTTACATTGATAGTACATGGCTATTCAATTTTTTTTTTTTGACAAAATGCTCCAATCAGCTCACAAATGGTTAACAAGTTTGTAAAAATACCTTCATAAATCAGAGGAATGTGTTAACCTCAGGACTAAACAATAAAGTAACAGAATTACTACAGACAGCCCATAGTCACACAATCCTGGCCCTTGACCTTCAACATTTCAAGCACGAGTGCAAGAATCATATTGTACGTTATTCCTCCCAATCAAATCAGGAGCATCTACATAGGCCTGTAGATACTAACTAATTTCTGACATGAGGGCACCAAGTGATCATACAAAGGTTGAGTACAATGTTGCACATTTTAATGCCTACAAGAATAAACAATCACTTATAAAGAATATGACAGCAGTTCTACCTTTGGTAATGCCACCAGATAGCAGGTGGGAGGGCACAAGCCACAAGGTTTGACCACATTGCCACATTGATACAACAATATCAAAGGATACACCAACATTGGTAAAATCCTACTCTAGCAGGAACACAGGGACTCAGATCTACTTATTGCTGATAACAAATCGAATTGCCTACTGATATATGCTGGTAGCTCATTTGAGCTAAAACTTTTCTTCTATATTAAACAGGTTCATAATCACAGATATGTAGTCACACTTGTTTGGTGCCTGCAAAAGATAATGAAGACTATACGAGAATCCCACGGCGCCAAGAACCAAATGAAATTATTTAGGTCGAGGGTTATATGGCATTGTCTTGCCTCCATGACCTCCCTTGTATATTGCTCTATTCAGCCTGATAGATAAGAAGTCAAGAACAAAATGATGAGCAAACAGATTGATAATATATGTACTCTATTCTTTCACACCCTTATAGAACATGTTGGTAGATACACATTCACAGAAGGAAATAATAATTCAGCGCGATGCAAAAAGGAGTTAAGAGTCATTCAGAAATGCTGTGTGCAATTGACAAAAAAAAGAGTAAATCCCATAACTCACCTTTGGAGCATATGGGGCAAAAATGGCCTTCACGTCTTCAAAGACCTCAGGAATTGGTTTTGCCGCATCAATCTAGGTTGCAAATTCCAACAGAAGGGCCAGCAATTAATTAAAATGTGAAAAATATAATGATGGTCATGAACTCAAAAGGAAGTAAGGAAGACTACTCCATCAGATTATCTTGCCATCTATAAACATCATCCTTCTAATCTCATATATTTAAGTTGGCATGCATCTTGTTCCAATCTGTGCTTCTATTTATAGTATAATACTACATTTTGCATCATTAGACTGCAACAGGAGTAACCCTCAAATGATAAAAGTCCATTAATACCTTTTTAACCTTGTCCTTTGAGCTATAGTACTCAATGACAGGCAAACTAGATTCAAGAAAAACTTTGAACCTTTTCCTGATAGTTTCAATGTTATCATCAACTCTTCCCTGCAAAGAGAACAATAAATATCAGAAACAAAGACTTTGTGACTAAAAATATGCACAAGTGAAGGATCATTAAGGAAACCTGATTGCGCCCCAGAAGACGTCTTTCCATCTCTTCCTCAGCACAATCAAAGAATAGAACAAACGCAGGAGAAATTTTTGTCTGCAACAATGAGGAACAATTAATAGTCTAGCAAATTCATTTAAACATACAATAAAGAATGAAATATAATCCCTTGATCCATCATTACAACTGGGTACAACCAAACAAAAGAAAGGGCCTTACAACATTCTCGAATGCAGCACGATTCTCTTCGTTCCTTGGAAATCCATCAATCAGAAATTTGTCATTTTCACTTTTTATCATGGCCTCCTTCAACAGCTTTATGGTTACTTCTGATGGAACAATCTTTCCCTCCTTTATCATGTTGTCAATCATGGTTCTGAAGAACATTAAAGTGCATAAAGAACATAGAAACATATAGAGGTCAAACAAATGAGTCAACAGGACTAATCTAATTTTACTTGGAAAAATGTGTTAAGAAGGAAAAGGAAATAAAATGCAGTTAGCTTTCTTATGGAGGGATTGGAAAAGGAAGATACCCATTCTCCGAGCCAGATTTGATCTCTGCACGCAAAAGATCTCCGGCACTAAGATGGGTGAATCCAAAGTGTTCCACTATATTGATACACTGTGTGCCCTTTCCACTTCCAGGACCACCTGTGTCACAAAGTCATATCTTTTGAGTGCATATATGTAACCAGATATATTTAATGAACCCATTTTATATTTTCAAAGATGTATAAGCTCATTTTCTTCCATGAGGTAGGATATGCAATAGGCAAATGTAATAAGTGAAGATAGAACAGATACCTAGAACGAATACAACAGTAATTTTCTTGCCACCCAGCATATTCTCAGTGACCTGAACGTGTGGAGTACATTTCTAAGATGAGGTATAACTTATGAACAGCATAACTTCTACAATGTGAGGGTATTTCCTTAGACAACATGTAGAAAATATATTGACGATATGAAAACTAATTTCTCAGGTCATGAACCAGAAAAGAGAACAAGGCATATATCCCAGTAAAAGTAACTAATTCTGAAATTTAGGCATAAAGATACAAGACTAAAGGGCAACAACTGTAAAGGTAACAGGAAATAAAAAAAAAACTCAGAAAGGAACTGATGTTGGACTGAAGGGTTAATAAATTAAGAAATATGTTTTGATGCTGAAAAATTGAGGTGCTCCACATTCTCAATGAACCTAGGCCTTTGCGACAGTAAGTGGATTATCAAATATGTAGGTGATCAATCAGTAGCTTCAAGTAAATCCAAGGTACCTCCTCAGCCACAGCTGCTGAAGCATCCACAGCTGTGCCCATAGCTCAAAGCTACTCTGCAGATCAGTTACAATATGTAAATATTTGCAGCTTTGTACAACGGAAGTCCAAATTTTCATATCTCAAATGTGGAAAAAGAAACATATCGTTGAAAGTCAAAGAGATTGTTTTTATGTGCTGAAACTAGGCAAGTATAGGCGATGTTATAATTAGGAGTTGGGACACCTAATTCCCTCTATAAAAAGATATACATTGAGGCCTGTAAAGGGCCACGGGCCACGGCTTATAAGAACTGATACGTTTGCGTTGCTTTGTTATTCTGGAATTTGGAGACAAGCAGGCACAAGGACAGCTGTATTGATCCAATTTATTATATAGCAAAAAATAAAGAATCACAAGCATAGCAACAATTTGGCTCGAACTAGAACTACCCTGGTCTGGCTCCAATTTTATTTATGATTACTGAGACAATTGGCCACTAAATGGCTCCAAGCAAATGAGACGCGACAAGGGATCACAAGCTCACAACTAGAACACGTGGCCCGCCCCGACCTCCTGGAAGTGGAAAAAAAAAATCCCACGGTCTCAGGAGGCTGCAACTAACCAACCAATCACCCCCAGATCCGGGTCCAAACGCACAATCCCATGATCACACATCTTCAGATCCGCGCCCTAGCCTGACCTAAACCTCCGATGGATCCATTCCAGCGGAGAGATCAAATTGACAGCCGCCGGACCCAATCGGAGCGGACCAAATGGGCCCAAGGCGCGAGAAGCGATCAGCATGGATTGTCGGGTGCACGGATGCTCACCTCGGGCCGGAGACAGCGAGCCGGTGAGCGAGGTGAAGGTGATGGGTGCGCGGGAGAAGGGGAGGCGGGCGGGCGGCTTTTCTGTGGAGGCGGGGGGTACAGTAGTGTAGGTGGGGAGAGCAGATGCAGAACAGCAGAAGCCGATTCGGGTCCCTGCCTCCTCTCACGCGAGTGCGTGGCTGTAGTGAATCAGTTTTTTTTACTTTGATTTTATAAAGCAGCTTCATTAGTAGACCTTAAAGTCTTCAAAATTGTTAGTAAAATAGATTTTCTAGAAAATAGCAGAGAGCTGAAAAAAAAGTATTTTTTGAGCTTCACCTGCAAAATTGCGCTTGTGAGTGAATCTGAAGAAAAAAAAAACAATTTTTACAGAGAAGTTGTTTCAACAGAGCTGTTTGATAGGAGAAGCTAAAAACAACTTTTGTTAAATTGGCCAAAAGCTGTACCAAACAGCCCCGAAGTCACCATGTACACAATACACCGGGGCGTAAGAAAGGCTCACACTCCCTTTTTTAACCCTCAGTTAAGAAGAATATAAGTTAATACAAAACATATCCACACAACAGTCGAGCCTCTAGCACTTAGCGAGAAACACACAAGAAGGTCATCATGCATCATCGCTGCCTAGCCTTAATGCAAAAGCGACAAAGCAACTTCAACTTTTCATAACGGACCTTTACCTAGAGTCGCCAAGACACCACCACCTACACATAAATGGCTCCACTAACACACCTAAGAAATACCTAACACATGTCATCATCGTCGAGCTTCGTCATGCCTCAGCATCTTCGACTCCACAAGAGCAAGCTCCACATCCTCATCATTGTCGTGACAGGTTGAGCAAGAACACGCCGGCGGAGTCCGCCGATGGTTATCATTGTTGAGCTCCGTGTGAAAGCAAAAAGCAGCTTCGACTTTCATTAGTGAACCTCAACCTACCCTAGGTCGCCAAACCTCCGCCTAAGCAACTAATTTGTCATCGTTACCGAGTCTCATTGCATCCCAACTACGAAGGAGCTCAGACTTCACATGGCACATGTTGAAGATAACAATGTCTAGGTACAATGTATAGGCAAGGGTGATGCCGTAGGGGCTCAGGTTGTTGAGCCAAGGCGTATGTGTAACAAATGTGTATGCGGATAGATAAATCTAGCGTGTGAGTTTGTTGTAACAAACACCTGATGTATGTGCCACGCAGGGGGCTCTTCCCTGCCTATTTAACATGTACTGAGAGCCCTGAGAAGGGCATCTTGTTCCCCCCATTTTCTTTACATGGTATCAGCTTAACACATATCCCTGCGGATTAGATCGATCCTCATGGCGACTTCTTCCGACGCCGCCGCTGCCTTCTCCTTCGGCTTCCTTCCGCCCGTGACGGAGAAGCTAACCCGTGGGAATCACAGCATGTGGCTCGCTCAGGTCACGGCCACCCTGCAGGGTGCCCAACTCTGGAGCTACACCAAGCCCACCTCGAAGCCCCCTCCCGAGTTTCTCCCGGAGGACGTTGCCGCTGTTACGGCAGGCAAGCAGACCGCACCGGTGGTCAACCCGGACTACGAGAAGTGGTTTGTCAAGGACAGTCATGTCCGTGGCTACCTCTTCTCCTCCCTCTCCAAGGATGTCTTCTCCCAGGTGGCATCTTCGACAACGGCGGCTGATCTATGGGCCGCGATCCAGGGCCTGTAGGCCTCTCAGTCCCGGGCGTGCATCATGTCCACGAGGATGGCGCTCTCCACGGCGACCAAGGGCTCCTCCACTGTGGCGGAGCTCTTTACCAAGATGAAGGGCCTGGCCGATGACATGGCGTCGGCCGGCAAGAAACTGGACGATGATGAGATCGTCTCCTACATCCTCATGGGTCTTGGGGAGGAGTTTGATTCGGTTGTGACTAGTGTGTCCAATCGTGTCGAACCAATCTCGCTCCAGGAGCTCCAGGCTCAGTTGGTGAGCCATGAACAACGGCGTGAGATCCACGACGGCGGCTCCCATTCATCTGCCAACCTCGCTACCAAGGGCGGCCGCGGTGGTGGCGGCGCTCCTTCCAACAACCACCGCAGCGGCCGTGGCGGCGGTGGCCGGGGTGGCTCTAGGCGCGGACGCAACGGCGGTCGTGGCAGCAACGGCGAGCGTGGCCACAACTTCCTCACTAGCATCTTCTACCAGATCTGTGGCAAGGAGGGGCATATGGCACGTCGCTGCTTCAAACGTTTGGATGCCACGGTCACTGGTCCACCGTAGAAGAGTGCCTCCGTAGCCATGACTTCGTATGGGGTGGACACCAAATGGTACATGGATACCGGTGCCACCGACCACATCACCGGGGAGCTAGAGAAGCTCTCGTTCCACGATAAGTACAACGGCAATGAAGTGTGCATCCATAACGGGTTAGGTAATGGGATATCGACTATGTTGGTCACGATTTTTGCATACCCCACGTAGCCAAATTCATCTTAATAAAATCCTTCATGTACCACAAGCCCACAAAAGTCTTATTTCTGTCAATCGTCTAGCTTGTGACAATAATGCCTTATTAGAGTTTCATCCCAATGATTTTTTTCATCAAGGAATAGGGGACCAAGAGAACACTGCTGCACGGCATGTGTAAAGGCGGTCTCTACCCCCTCAAGGCCTCGCCAAATAACCAAGCTCTTGGTGTGTTCAAGCCATCCGAGTCCGTGTGGCATGCTAGGCTAGGGCATGCATCCTCTGTCGTCGTCCAGCAAGTCATCAATCGTCATAGTCTTACCTTTTGCAAGTCGAATAAAGATGCCATTTGTGATGCGTGTCAACGAGGGAAGAGTCATCAGGTTCCTTACCCTCGTTCTACCAGTGTTTCAGCTAGTCCTTTGGATTTAATTTTTTCATATGTATGGGGTCCCGCACCATCTTCGGTCGGGAAGAACAATTATTATGTTTCATTTATTGATGATCACACCAAATTTACATGGGTTTATCTCTTGCGCCATAAATCCAAAGTTTTTGCTCGTTTTCGTGATTTCCAAAGTCTAGTTGAACGCCAATTCGGACGCAAAATTTTGGCAGTACAATCTGATTGGGGCGGTGAATACCAAACCCTAAACTCCTTTTTCAAACACATAGGGATAGACCATCATGTCTCTTGCCCACATGCACACCAACAGAATGGCTCTGTCGAGCGCAAGCATAGGCATATAGTTGAAGTTGGCCTTTCTTTGCTTGCTCACGCCTCCATGCCACTCAAGTTCTAGGATGTAGCTTTCCTCACTGCGGTCTTTCTCATTAATCGCCTACCCTCCAAGGTTATTGGCAATGAGACACCGTATGAACGCCTCCTTGGCCACAAACCTAATTACTCCTTTCTTCGCACTTTTGGGTGCGCCTGCTGGCCGAATCTTCGACCATACAACACAAAAAAAAAACTTCAGTTTCACTCTAAGAGGTGTGTGTTCCTCGGTTATAGTGATTCCCATAAGGGGTTCAAATGCCTTGATCCCTCGGAAGGGCGAGTTTATATCTCAAGAGACATAGTGTTCGATGAACATGTTTTCCCATTCGCCCACCTTCACCCCAATGCCGGAGCACAACTTCGTGCTGAAATCGCTCTTCTCCCGCCATCGCTTTTGCCTTCCTCCTCTACGTTTGGGGATGCAATTTTACTTGATCAAGATAGTCTTGATACCGTATCTTCTAACCCAGGTTTGAGTTCTGCTTGTCTTGCACCTGCAGAAAAAAATTCGACGGAGTTTGATGCATCAACGGTGGTACAAAATGATGATGAACCGGTGCTGCCTCACCCTCATTTCATGTGTTCCCCAGGTGGAGACAACGCGGCGATCGGAGCTGATCCTCCTGGCGCGACTGACAGTACTGCCACCGGATCCAGCTCGAGATCGGCGCCTACAACCTCGGAGCCGGTTCTATCGACCACCAGTGCTCCTCCCTTAGGATCTTCTGTGGGCGATGCGACGCTCGTCCCTCTCACCAACCCTATGGACTCGGCACGGCTGCACACCGGGATCCGCCGCCAGCGGGGGCTGGTACGCCTATTGCTGAGCTGACAGGCGAGATGCGTGGCTCGGATCCTCTGTGCCTGATGCAACTACATCTGTTCCTGTGGCTAATCAACCTCGATGTCCTACAACAAGAGCCCAACAAGGCATTCGACAGCCCAAACGGTATACCAACGGCACGGTACGTTGGGGCATGTCCGCGATTGCTTCTGACGAGCCATCCACGGTTAGCGAAGCTCTCCATGATCCCAAGTGGAAAGGAGCCATGGATGTTGAATACAAGGCTCTCATGAACAACAAGACTTGGCAACTTGTTCCACCTCCCAATGGCAAGAACATTATTGACTGCAAATGGGTGTACAAGGTTAAAAGGAAAGCTGACGGCACCATTGATAGGTACAAAGCTCGTTTGGTTGCTAAAGGTTTTCGTCAACGCTATGGGATTGACTACGAAGACACGTTTAGCCCGGTTGTCAAGGCGGCAACCATTCGTCTTATACTATCTATTGCCGTGTCGAGGGGATGGACGCTTCGTCAACTCGATGTGCAAAATGCCTTTTTGCATGGCATATTGGAGGAAGAGGTTTACATGAGACAACCTCCCGGTTATGCAGATTCAAGAAGACCGAAGTCTGTTTGCAAACTTGAAAAGGCACTTTATGGACTTAAACAGGCACCACGAGCTTGGTATGCTAGATTATGTGCAAAGTTGGTGGCTTTGGGATTTGTACCCTCAAAGGCAGACACGTCACTCTTCTATTATAGTAAAGGTGACCACACTATATTTGTTCTTGTATATGTTGATGATATTATAGTGGCAAGTTCCTCACAAAAGGCAACGGATGCATTGCTCAAAGATTTAGAAAAAGAGTTTGCTCTCAAGGATCTTGGAAACCTACACTACTTCCTAGGCATAGAAGTAAACAGGCTTGGTGATGGTCTCAAGCTCTCTCAAGAGCGGTATGCAGCAGATGTGCTACAACGGGCAGGCATGAACAAGTGCAAAGCCATTGATACTCCTCCTCTTCGACTGAAAAGTTAAGTGTGACAGAAGGAGAACCTCTTGGAGCTGAGGATGCAACAAGATATAGAAGCATAGTTGGGGCACTACAGTATCTTACTTTGACCAGACCTGACATCTCATTTTCTGTGAACAAGGTGTGTCAATTCCTTCATGCACCGACCTCTGTCCACTGGAGCGCTGTGAAGCGAATACTTCGGTATATTCAAGGAACTCTCAAGTTGGGAATGAAGATTAGCCGGTCCGGGTCTACAATGGTGAGTGCATTCTCAGATGCTGATTGGGCAGGGTGCCCCGATGACAGAAGGTCCACTGGAGGCTTTGCCGTTTTTCTTGGACCCAATCTAATCTCCTGGTGTGCTAAGAAGCAAGCAACCGTGTCGCGTTCAAGTACACAGGCAGAGTATAAGTCACTAGCAAATGCTACAGCTGAGGTCACGTGGATTCAGAAATTGCTTGATGAGTTGAGAATACCACACCCTCGTGCAGCTAGACTTTGGTGTGACAATATTGGTGCTACCTATCTTTCTGCCAATCCAGTTTTTCATGCGCGCATAAAGCATGTAGAAATAGATTTTCATTTTGTGAGAGAAAGAGTAGCACAGAAGCTACTTGATATTCGATGGATACATACTGATGACCAGCTAGCTGATGGGTTTACCAAACCGGTTGTTGCGGCCAAGATTAACAAGTTCAGGTCCAATCTCAACCTAGTGGCTGGTTAAGATTGAGAGGGGATGTTGAAGATAACAATGTCTAGGTACAATGTATAGGCAAGGGTGACGCCGTAGGGGCTCAGGTTGTTGAGCCAAGGCGTATGTGTAACAAATGTGTATGCGGATAGATAGATCTAGCGTGTGAGTTTGTTGTAACAAACACCTGATGTATGTGCCACGCAGGGGGCTCTTCCCTGCCTATTTAACATGTACCGAGAGCCCTGAGAAGGGCATCTTGTTCCCCCCATTTTCTTTACAGCACATCCAATCCACGAGCGCCGAATGATCATTGTGAAGCAAGAGATAGCAACACAAAGGAATATGTCTCGCCGCACACGAAGAGTGCACCTAAGCTAAGGGCTATCTCCAATAATAGACAACTCCTAATAGGTAGCTAGACAAAGCATGTCTGTAGTCACTTATCCACTAAGTAAACATGGTTTTCACCGGGAGAAGCTCGAGACAAGGAAGGAAGCCCTCAGCGACGTCCCAATCAGCTCGAAGGTGCTGTCATAATCAACACTGACGAAGCGTCAAGCGGGACTTTCACTATAAATTAGAACAGATAGAGTGTAACTTTTAACGTGAAGAAATTCACATATATAACGCTAATTAAATTCTGAAAGAAAAAAAAAGAGAAGAGATATAGCCTTTGAAGTGAAGAAATTCACGTACCTAGTGTTAAATTTTAAATGGTGCATGATTGAATATTAAATCGCATAGATTGAATGTCAAACTAAAGAAATCTCTCTTTGTTCATGTTCAAAAGAAGAAATCTCTCTTTGTTGAGCCTGCTTCTCTTCTTGCCTTGTTATCCCATCCCTTTTCGCTTGCCACATCTGTCCCCCGAGTAGCAATCTGAGCACATGGCGCACGGCGGCCGTGCTCTTTCCCATGCGAGGACTGATTCTTGCTTCTTCCTGCGCGCCCCACCGTAGATGCGCTCCCCGCTCCTCTTCCTTTTTGCTGCTTCGTGTGGATCGAGACGAGGGGCGTTGCTGATCTGCCGGGAGGGATAGACTAGAGAGCCAATCTGAACAAGAGGCTTGCTATTCTAAAGAGTAGAAGTCTGAAATAGCAATGTCACTGGAATTGCTCTAAAAGCTCTCTAATTCTCTCTCTCCACATAATCAGATCTGATGCACGGGTGCCTTCCCTCCTCCCCATACATACACAGTCACAAAAAGGTTCCCGATACGTAGGTACGGCGAACGCGGGACGTGGATCGACGATTTTAAGTTCCCGGTTCATAGAGGGTAATACCTCTTTAAAATGTTTGGTTGGAGGATGAGATCATGACCCATTGATCCCTAGATAATTCAGGCGACATATCCGAAATGTAGCTATGAAACGGGATCTCGTCTGTGGACTATGGGCCTGTTTGGCAGGGATTCACCAGCTCCAGATTCACTATTTTCAGCTCCACTCCACCAAAAATTTCCCAAACATCCTAGATCCACCAAATTCAAATCCACCAAAACGTTGGATCTAGAGACCAGATTCATCAAATTGGTGGAGCTCCTCAGGGGGTGCTCCACGAATAGGTGTTTCGTATCCCCTCGTGAAGTTGGATAAAAATTACCCACCTTTGCCACTAGTTACACACCCTTATCCTTACCGGTTCGATTATTTCCTTTCTTCCCCACCTCACTGGATACGACGCCCTTCTACTCGCGCCTCGCGTCCTCCTCTTCCGTCGCGGCCAGGGAGGCCGCGCCGCCCATCCCCTCCCTCCATCCCTCCACTCCGGCGAGCCCTCCATGGCCGGATTCGGTAGATCCGGTCCTGCTCGACCTCCTGCACCTCCTTCTTCGTCCACATCCATGGGAAAGACCACACCTAGGGTTGGGCTCTCTCAATAATCCTCTTCCGGCGTCGCGGACATGCCCCCTTCCAGTAGCCTTCAACCCGCCTGATCATGGCGTGGCATGGCCGCATGGCGGCGTTGACCCGCCATGGCAGGCGTCAGTAGGCGCGGGCGGCCTCGAGACCGCCATGGGCGGCGTTCAGTAAACAGGCCTCAGACCGCCATGGGCGGCGGCCAGAGGCCGGCGGCTCCAGACCGCCATGGACGCCGCCATGGGCATGCCTTGCCTGCCCAACAAGCCTTGGGGCCCCCAAAGCCTTCTGCCCGGCCGCCGCCCGACCCCGCCGCCCCAAATTAATGAGTGACCATGGGCAGGGGGTGTGTGCCACTGGTCAAGCGAAGCGGTAGTTCATCGCAACAACCGAGACGACGCGCTCCGTCGACCAACAAGAGGGCAAAAGAAGATGAGGTATAAATTTGTCTTTCAATTTTGTGCAACAATTGGGAAATCTTGATTTGGGTGATCAAATACTTGTGGGAAATTAATGTCGGGTGATGCTATGAATTTGATGATGGTTATCTTTTGTTTGTAAGTTTTTTGCCGAGCAAGTTAGAAAAGAAATTGGCGAACACACATTTGAACAATGTAGGCTTTATCGAGGTATCTCGATAGGTTTTTTCAACCGGAATAATGTTGAGTAAAATGCAACTAAAGAACAAATGGGACAAGTTGAGAAGGGATTATGGTGCTTGGAGGAAATTAATGAGGAAGCAAACAGGGGGTTGGGTTCAATTGGAATCTGAGGAACTGTCAACATGGATCCCAGTGGTGGAAGAAGATAACAAAGGTCAGTTTTATTTGTTATGCTATGTACATTTTATTTCTGCAACTTAGAAATTTATGTGTGTGTGTGTGGGCATTATCTACTGCTTCAAGGAACAATAGCAGCTTGAACTAAATGCATGAGTAAAATAGAGAACAAAACCACAGATAACAAAATGTCCTGTGAAAACAGAAATATCCATGTGCAACTTTACTGTAATTTTCCCAGATTTCCTGTAACTTTACTGTAACTTTACAATAGCAACTTTACTGTAATTTCTATTCTAACCAAGTAGATACTCAATTTCCCGTTTGGAACTGATATGGCTGGGATGTTGGCTTTATTCATCTGAACATAAAAAGGAATAGGCAAGAGCGGGCTGAGGAATCAAAAGGAATAGGCCAACAAACGCTCAAAGAAAAAGGTGAAATCAAGATGGCTTGAGGACAAACTAAAAATAATAGGCGAAGTTTTTCCCCCACAGAATTGAGGGTTTCAAAAATGAAAGCTAGTTTGGCTTAGTGCCCTAGTGAAATTAAAACAGCTACCAAAGCCTTTTTCAGAATCCTTTCTCAGTTCAACTGAGTTCATACTGTCTGACGAGCACAAATTAAAACAGCTACTTATACGAGGGAGGCGAGAACCTTCTTCGCCAAATATAAAACAAGATACTACCAAAAGAATGCAACACCGCTGACCACCTTGCAGTTGAGCTCACAATTTGCATTTCCTAAATCTCAAAAAAAAAAATTGCCCATTGATCCAACTGTATCTCTTTTACAATATCTATCCGATGTATCTCGGTTAGATCGAAGGAATTATTTTCATCCAAATATCTATCCAAATTGTATGTAAACTACGCAAAGGAATTATTTTCATCCCAAAATGAATCTTCCCCCAACCCAAAAAGAAAACTTAACAGTTGGACTTCTTTGATGCTGTCCCTTGAGTATATATTCTACCTCTGAAACTTTCCCTCACATAAGGTGCTCAATAGCAGCCTCGTGTGAAGAAACTGAAGCATCTGACTTCAATGCCATGCAAGAACATCTGAGATTTGCGATTTCTAATGCAACATACACTCTCTAACATATAATCTGCTATGTACATTTTTATTAGTGCAATCTCCTATGCCTCTTAGTGCAATCTGCTATGTACATTTTATTTACGCAACTTAGAAATTTTTCTTATTTTGGACGTTCTCATATGTTTTAGGAAATTAGTGGTGTTGGCAAGTTCAAGAAGAAGCCTATCCAAAATGAAGACGACTTGAAGGTGATGTTTGGAAACATTGTTAATGAGGAGCAAGATCATTGGAATCCTATGAGTTCCAACCCCATCATACCCCTTGATGATGACATCCAATGCATGGTGTAGAGGTGAGCACCCCATCGAGCACCACCTTTCGATCAAGCACACATTTGATGGTGACAACAACTCTTTGAAAATGGAGATGATGTTCAGGAGGTCACTCCGGTCACGCATAAATGGTAAGAAAAAGGCTAAGGTTATTTTGGAGAAGCCCACCAAGAAACCTAAGAGTAGCACGACCCTTGTTATCCAAGAGCACATCTCAAAGATTTCTGAGTCTGCATCTTCTTTTGTGTCTAAAAGGCAAGGTGGGATCACCATTGAGCAAGTTATGGAACATGTTGTGGCATGTGGGGCTGCATATAAGACCGATGAGCATTTTGTGGCAACTGAGTTGTTTGTGAAGAAAGAGCAAAGAGAAATGTTCATGACCCTCATTTTCGTGAATTTGGTGTGTCATATTGCATTTGTGTTTTAAAAATATACCTTTTTTGAATGAATATAGTCATAAGACGTGAGCCACATGTCTCATGTTACAACCTAAGGGCAAAACAGGCTATTCCCACCAAAACCTCATTTTCGTGAATTTGGATCTGTTGTTTTGCCAAACAGTTCCCTGGTACATACATGGTGGATCTCAGATTCACGGTGGAGCTGATCCACGGTGAATCCCAGATTCAGATTCACATTTTACAGTGGTGAATCTCTGCCAAACAGGCCCTATAGCGCTCACTGAATCTATTATAAAGTTCTGAACTCTAGAGTAGTATGTGTTTTTTACTGAAAAAAATGAAGTCTGAACTCGAGAGCTAACGTTTCATTTCCCGTCACGTTGCATTTCCACTTTGGCGTTCGTGATGGAGGCCCAGTAGCCCATTTACATTAGGTCCCAATTCTCGTCCAGCACCGTGTGAAATGAAAAAGAAAAAACTCTCGTCCGACAGTCCGACACTCATCCGGCCGACCTCGGGCGCCGCCGCGCTCGACCCCAGCGACGCGCCGCCCACGGCCGCTGCGTCACGCCGTGCCTCCAGCTCCGCGCCGCGCCTCCAGCTCCAGTCTGTTTTGGGACGTCGTCCCAGCGCCGATCCGTCGTTCGTACCCTGCCGTCCCCGAACCGCGATCCGGAACGCTCGTTCCCGGGACGCGGATCTCCGCTACCTACCGCGATCCCTGTGACCGTCGCTACCTCCCTTCATCGCAGCCTGTTGCTGCACTCAGTGAGAGGTACTTCCCATTGCGCTGCGAATTGATGCACAGATTCGTTCCCCATTACTTCCGGTTGCATCTCCACCTCCAAAATTTTTGCGTCCCGATGCACTGATTCGTTTTTCCGACTAGTTCTACTTCAATTTGGGGGTCCGGAACTGTCCTGTTCTTTCATTAGAAAATCTTTCCAGTAGCACGCAAGCACAACTGAATCACTCAATTCGTGATAGGATAGATAGGTACAGTTCTGCCCAGGCAATCTGCATTTGGGGACTAATTTAACTTCAAGATGAATACTTGCAGTGTTTTCCTCGTGTTCATTTTTTTTTTCGAAAACCTTTTCCTCGTGTTCATTGAAGTGCAAAGAGAGAAGACCTGACTTTTCATTGTTCATCTAGATGGCTTTTATGGTTGCATCTACGGTTGGGCACTCATCCCTTATCTACGCAATAAAAGCAAGCAGCCTGTAAGGTGCTCTATTTTGGGGAAGAATAGGGACAGAATGATGTATCTAAAGAAATTATATTGTGGTTAGGATTCAGACTCAATTAATCTTCTTAGAATGAGTAAATATGTCTTCTCAAGCTATGCACAAAGTTTCGTTCTATGGATGCACTCCGGGATACTTGGCACTACTCAGTTGAGGAACAAGTTGCCATGTTTCTTCAAACAGTTGGCCACAAGGAAAAGAACAGGGACATTTTTTTTAAGGTCTACTAAAACTGTTAGTAGATGTTTAAGTGAAGCTCTGTGACACAGGTCAATAGATGTACCCTTCAGAATCCAAAACATCACGAGATTCTACCGATATTTTGAGGTCCAAAATAACACAGAATTCTATCCAAAGTCCAGCGCCAATTTATAAGTGCTAACTTCTAATTTCTATAAGGTAGGATTGCATCAGCAACTTATAAGACTATTATGAAAGATGTAAGATCTTATTTGGCTATAATGTGAGTCGTACATTGCTTTAGGACCATATTAAAACCTGATGTGTAATGCAGTTCTTATTATTCATGCAAATTTTAAGTTGTCATTTCCAGATATGGTTGGGAACAGTGTGATGTGGCAACACCTGGAAGTGGAGGATCTCCTTCTTTACCACAAGGAGAAAATCCTTCTCTACTACAAGGAGAAAATCCATGAGTCAGGGAGGGCCTTTGTTCTAAGGGAGGTCCATCATGAAGAGTGTGCTCGAAGGCTTAATGAAAAGTATGGTACTAACTTCACGTGGAAACAAACCTACAACAAGTACCACAAGCTTAAAGGAGAATGGAAGCTGATCATGGAGGCAAAGTCTGCTAAGGGTGCTAGTTTTGATGATGTTCAGAAGAAGATAATCTATGACGAGATAGAGGTTGTCAAGATGAAAGCTGTAAGCATACATAATAAATATCTTTGTCACATATATAAGTTACATTTGCAAACTGGATAGTATCCTAATGAAACATAGTTTTCTTTTGTGTAAATGTAGAAAGGTGATAAGAAGGCTAAGTACTACAATGTTCCAATTCTCTTGTATGATGAGATGGAGTTTGTCTTCACGGGGAAACATGCTACTGGAGAGTTCAGTGTTATTGAAGCACCATTTGTTAGCTCAGCAAGGCAAGAGAATGATCTCGTTGGGAATGTCGACCCAACTCAAGAACTAGCAGATCTGAATGGTGATCCTTCTCAACACGATTCCGACACCCACCCAGAGTCTGATAGTCCAAATCCAAACCCAGTAGGTTCTAAGCGCAAACACGAAGAAAAGGAGAAGAAAGGGAAATGGGCTAAGCAAGGTGTCCCCATTTCCATGCAGGCCTTGTCGGAAGCAGTGAGCTTTACCCATGGCACTGATCCACACGAGGGTATATTCATAGGCATTGAAGACATGGATGAATATCCTTTGCCGGTTCGTCTTGATTTGCTAACCTATCTTGCTCAAAATCGCCACATTGCTAACATGTTGAAGGGACGGAAGGAGGAAACTTTCAAGCAATGGGTGGCACGATGGGTCGCTGGTCACTATCCTTTGTGATTCATGTTTGAAGCTGAAGTCGTCTTATGATTCATTTGTACTCACAGTAGGGTCTAACCTAACTTTATATGGCAAGCTGCATATTTTGACCGTATGTCTATGCATGGCAAAGTTTTTTTTTTTTTTGATAGTATGAAACTAGATAGTGAGTGTTAAGTCAGTGCGTGGCTCGCTTGAGCAAAGACATTGAATCTGGCTTTGGGCAGACGATCACAGCTACTGCAACACTAAACGTCACATGAATCTATCACAGGGAATGACAAAACCATTTGTCCACTATAAACAGAGGAACAAGCAAACAATGGTAAACAAGCCGGTATACCCATCCTACTACACGAAGACGCGCATACTGAATATTCCAACTAGCAACAACTGTGACCATTACACCTCGATATTCGAGGACCTATGAAAATAAGAGAACAACTATCATCCAGGGAAGGCGATCTTTATGTAGCCCAGAACAGATTCCAAGTTCCAACCGCTGATGTCTGCACATGAGAAGGAAGCCATGAGTGACCATAAAAAGAATACAGAAAGTAAAAAACGTGCAGGTAAACTAGAAAAAAAGAATACAGAAAGTAAAAAACGTGCAGGTAAACTAGAAAATCAATGTAGCAGTAAGCAGTTTGTGAAATTAAAAGGGAAAATAAAAACTGCACAACTAAAACCAGAAGATGCAGGTGCAGCACTAAGCAGTTTAGGAACAGCATGCTTAATGCACAAGTAGCAACAGTTTAAAGGAAAAAAACTCACAGAAAGCATAACTCCAAAGTACCATACAGAAATAAGGTGTTGGCATGCATTGACACATCAACAGTAAGACATGGTAGTTGATAGAGAAATACTAGCGTTCGCAGAATGAATCAACGAAACATGGATGTGCTTGCCTAATAACTGGGCTACAAACTCAACCTACATGATCAGAAACCAAGGAATTAGATTACGAAAATAAAAGACAAGGAGTAAATTTGATGCCCTAAATTGATTAATAGAAGTAGTGACACAATTGGCAATGAAGCAATTCATGCATTGTCTGTGCTCTCAAAGCTGCAAGAATGATATCATGCCAATTGTGTCACTATTAGAGGTTCATACACCTACAGCGGAGTCAATTATCTTATTGTGGAAGCAAAGAGCTATTTCATTGCCCAGCAGGGTTTTGAATCAAATTGCTAGTTCACCATGGCACTAACACCACAGCACGTGATACAACAGAATGTTCCCATTTGTGAAACACACAAACAAAAGGACAGCCAATGCTACTTACATCTGATTGCAGGCAGCCTTTACAGATTTACTCTTGTTTACATTTTGGCAGCTAACCTAATTACAAGATGAACTGACAAAATAACAAAAGTTACATAATTTTGTGTACCTAAAAAGTTACATGAAGAATATCAGTACAGAAACTATATATACATCAATATGCCAAAATAGTGAGCATGCTATCTAACAGTTACAAGCTTATATTTTAGACAAGGCCGGCATGTTACAATTCTTGGCTAAAACAATGCCAACTAGCTACAGAGAGTATAAACCGAACCTAAGGATCTATACAAATGATTTTACATAAAGGTTAGTAAAAAAAATTACATGACAATGTTGTGGAGGCTTTTGTCCTAATCTACCACAACAGACAATGTCAATATGCCACAGCACTACTTTACAGTACAATTCAAGAGTTACAGTTCAAAACAAACAAGAGATCAGATCAAGCATAACTTACATCTCAAATTATTGCTACAACAGATCACCGGAGATTTATGCAGTGAAAACCATCACAGCCACAAGCAGTAAGCAGTTGCTAGTTGTTACTGAACAATGCCTGGGTGCAAAAAAGACGCTGCCCTGGATCGTCATTGCCTCTACACTAGATGTAGCTCAGCCAGCTACACTATTGAGGTGTCATCCGCCCACGTTTAGAATGGTCGGCCTCCCTCGACCTGCTCCGTATCCCAGATGACCTCCCCCTGTCCCAGTCTTCATTACGCTCTGAATCACGATCCCTGTGCCTGTGATAATCACCATAACGATCTCTGTCATCCCTGTGCCTCTCCCTATCTCTGTCCCTCTCTCTGTCTCGGTCTCTCTCTCTGTCACGGTCTCTTTCCCTGTCTCTGTCATAATCACAATCCCTCTCTCGGCCCATGTCATGCTCATTCCGGTGCCTCCTCTCTGGCCACTCCTGTTCAGGGGGCATATCTTTCTCTCTGTCCCGTCTCCTCTCTGATGCCCCAGACCATTCCCTCTCTGGTGGCCTCTCCTTCCCATGGCTTCCCCCTTCCCCATACTGATGATCAGACTCTGCATCGTCCCCATAATTTGATTGTTCTTCCACACCCCAAGCCCCCATGCTGGGATCAGGCCACATCCCCACCCCACCAGCCCCCATTCCACCACGACCAAAGAAGGCCGGGTTTACATGTGGTGCAACAACTGGAGGAAATGGTTGCATCATCCCAGGAAACGGCCCAGCACCTGGTCCAACAGGGAAGTTACCAAACCCACCACCCATCCTTCCCATTGCACCAAAACCAGGATCAAACCCCTGGCCCAGCATGCCCCCTTGAGGCAGCATTGGGGGTGGTGGAGCAACCATGCCGTTCCCAATTCCACGGCCAACTGCCGGACCCATTTTATTGTTCCTCATATTACCAACAGGGCCTCTACCTCCACCACCACCTCTACCCCAGTTCCCACCACCACCGCCTCCTCCACGTCCACCACTGTAATTACCAGCAGCATGAGGCATTCCAGCACCACCACCCCCTCTACCACCCTTTGGTTGCACTGATGATGTCTGTGCAGCTAAGGCCTGCTGGGTCTTCACCTGCGCCTCGCCCATGCGGCGCACAGTATTGGGAGACGCGAATGCCACAACACATGGACGGCCATTAAACGAGTGGCCGTTCATGCCCTCCTTGCAGGCAGCGGCGGCGGCAGGGTCGTAGAAGTCGACCTGGCAGTACCCCTTGGACTTGCCGCTAGCCTTCTCGTCGAAGAATCTGACCTCCTTCACCGGCCCATACTTGCTGAGCTCCGCCTCCAGATCAGCGTCGGTTGTCCACCAGTGGAGGTCGCCGACGAACAGCGTCTTGCCGGCGGGGCCATCGCCCCCACCAACGCCGGCTCCGTTGGCGACAACGACGGGACCGCCGCTGTAGTTCCCTCCCGGCCGGTGGAACCCGTCGCCCTGCTGGATCTGGTGGTGCTGAGGCGGCGTGGGGGCGGGCCCGGGCGGCGGCGGGAGATTTGGCTGGGGCGGCGGCTGAGTCGGACTCGGCGCTGCCACAGCAGGCGCGTAGACCTGCTGCTGGGGCGGGGGGTGCAGCGGCGGCGGCGGGGGCTGCTGCGGCTGCGGCAGGGGCGGAGGAGGGAGCTGCTGCTGTTGGTGCTGATGGTGGTGGTTCAGCTGCGCGGGCGGAGGAGGGCGCTGTTGCTGCTGCTGGTGGTGATTCTGCTGCGGGGGCGGGGCGTGCTGGGGCGGCGGCGGCGGGTGGGAGTTGAGGTGGAAGCCGTCGCCGACGTTGACGTCGTTGTAGAGCTCGTCGAAATCGTCGTCCTCGCCGTAGTACTGGTCGACGTCCTGCACGGCGGAGATGGCCTCGCTCCGGTGGAACGCCGGGTCGCCGTCGGAGTCCATGGCGACTAGGGCTAGGGATTGCGGGATTGGGGTGGGTGGGGATGGGAAGCTGAGGAAGGAGATGGAAAATAAGATTTTATAGTATGTAAAAAAATAGAAATCGGAGCCGGAGACCGGACCGGAGAGGCGACTTGCGGCTTCTCGACTTCTCGTCCGGGTCCGCCCCGTGGGCCCACATGATGGCGGGAGTTGAGTCTTGAGATAAGGCTCTTGTTGGGCCTTGTTTGCTCCATGGGCCGTAGGTCTGCTTTAGGAAGAGCATGTGATTCGAACTCTTCAGTTCCAGTTTGAGCCAAATTCTAAAGTTTGTGGAGAAGTTCAATTTTGCAAGGCCTCGAACGTTTAAAGAGAGAAACTCAGGGAGGAAAAATTTGACACTAAAAATATTAGTATACCTCATGCAAAGAGTTTAAGTATGTAACCTTACTTCATCTACATACAATTACAAAGGATTTTGTTATCTAGAAATATTACTAAACCTCAATGCGAAGAGTTCAAATATATAGCCTTATAGGGGCTGTTTGGACGATCGGAACGGTTCCGATTCTGGTTAGAATCAGAAGAAACGCTTCCAAACTACCTCATCCAGAATCGTTTCACATGGATTCACGTTTTATGTCTGGGCGAGAGAAACAGCTGAACCCTGGTTTCGCTAGATTCGTCTTCAGTCTCTCTCGTGTACTATCAACTGTATTTTTTCTGCTTATTCTTTTTAAGTACAAGTTAAAATGGATTGTATTCAAGCTATTCTTGCCTACAAAAAGTTTTAGATTTTTTAGAAGCATATTTTTATTTATATGTTTTTTGTTAAAAAAACATTGTTTTTTATTCATAATCTAGTCTACTAGCCAAACGGTTCCATAAAGTGATTCTGATTCATCACTTGAAACGTTCCTTGTAAGAATCTGGATCATACAAAATGGGCCCTTGCTTGCTTACAGTTATGGAGGATTTTGTTATGAGTAAATTGCATCCATCATACAACTTGTATGGTTGTATCACTTCAGTCCAACAACTTGTAAATTGTCCAAACTAATGAATGGACTTGTTAAATTTGTGCTTTTACGGTCATATGTATGCCATGAAGCGTGTTTTTCCAGTGGACAAAAAGGGGGCTACGATATTTGCCGAGGATGGATGGCAATCAGGTGCAAGATCAAACTGTCGAGGCAATTGACATGACACAGAATGCACCAACTAACCTCAGTCAGATAGAACCTCAATAATAATTTCGTGCTTATTCTGTGACTGTAATGAGCTACACACCAGCATGTTACTGGCATAGTATTGTGCCACTACTACTTTCTAGGAATCATTGAAGTTTGTTCCAATTTTTCGTTTAGATTTGGATTCATGTTAACCTTTGAATTTGTAGGTTCAGTGATATAATTATTAGTTCAAGTGAATTTAAGCTTTGTTTGATCTCTGAATAACCCATAAATAGGATGCCTGAATCTTCAGTTTAAGTGCTCAGAATATTCAGAGGTTTGTTTTCACTTTCCATGGGTGTGTAGTAAGGATTCACTCTGATGATTGTTTTTTTGAAACGAATCTGATGATTGGTTCATTGATTCCGTGGTGATATTAGTAAGTGCTTTATGATCACAAGCATAGCATGTCAGCTCTAAGTCTTTGATTGAGCGCCATAAAGAAAGAGAAGAATGCATCATGCATCTTTCAGCAAAGATAAATAACAGGACTGTGCATGCAAGTTCTGTGGGCTGCAGCGACCCGTGCACAAGCACAAGGAGATGGAACGGCTTCAGTCTTCAGGAATGTCAAATTGTTTAACTCTCTACCTCCTAAAATACGAACACGCTTCAGGAGTTGATGATCGATACAGTCGTTAGTGATCGCTACAGTCCACGTAGATCTCTACCATGGCAAAATACACTCTGTGGCGTACATATGACTGTACACGCACACATTAACAAGTCAATGTATTAGTTTGCATATTTTGCAAGTTGTTGGACTAAAATGATACGACCATACAAGTTGTTGTATGACAGATGCAATTTACTCTTTTGTTATCCTAATAGCTAGTTTTCGTCCATTCCTGCGGTCCAGCTCTTGGAAAGCAAAGCAACTCCTCTGGACAGAAGTTGTTGTAATCTTGTTCCATTTGATGCAACGGCGCTAAGCGTCTCCTAGTCAAAAAAGGAACAAATAAATGCCACATATCAAAAATCACATTTCGAGATCTATTCAAACAGCCTGATTCGCTTGTTGGTTTTAGCCAGAACTTATCAACCAGCCAACAGTGTTTTCCTCTAAAAAACAAACCAGCACCAGCCGGGCTTATCAGCTCTGAAACCAACCAGCGAACAAGCCAAAATTCAACACTCCCGGACCACAGCACAAAAGGAGATCCAGAAACGTCTTGATAACATGGTTATGCAAATATGGGCAGACATAACGAAACCGGACAAATATTAGATGAGTTTATAGCTTGAATGCAACAACTGCACCAACCAACCTACCACCATGAAATCAGTGGAGCATGTGATGCCTGCCTTGGTCCTGAGTTCTCACCTTCTCGACCACAAAACTTTAACCAGGAAGCAGCTATCTGCCTATTAGTTATCCCAGGAAGGATAAACCTCAAGAAACGTCAACCATTTGTCCATTATCAACAGAGGAAGGATGAACAAAGGACAGTCATAACAAAGACTGGTTTATCATCACCCTACAAGGCTACAACAGAAATAGTACAGTCTTCAACAACAACATTGCAAAAGCATCGGTCCCAAATTACACACAAAATAGATCCTTATGTCTTTGGGAAACTCGACATTTAACATAGCATACAATAGGAGGCAACAACAATCATCCAGGGAAGTCCTTCGCACAGCTGAACAGGATCCAACCAAACATTCCTGCAAATGAGAAGAAAGCATTAGGCCAATTGGCAAAGCTGCATCAAAGTATATGCAGTAGTAACACTTAGAGACAAGGTATACAAGTAAAAGCAAGCATACTGTGACTTCACATGATGGAAAAGAACTCAGGATGGGAAATGCAAGAACTGATAATAGCAAGCACACTCCAGATACTGTCTAAAAACTTATAACAAGGAATGTGGCATTGGCCCCATAACCATACTATTTCTATGTTTCTTAGAAACTTTAATGCATCCTCCTTATAAGAAATAAATCAAAGCACCCTAGCCTAACATATTGTTAATCTTACATGTAAAAGCTCCAAAGGTCAGCAGCTGAAGAAAATATGGAACCACAACCGTTTGACTATCTTGCTTGAACTTTGCACTCAAGAACAGTAAATATTTGACATGTACCCCCACCCCCCCAAAAAAAAAAAAAAAAAAGGATAGTCCATGAGCACATATTCCCAGACAGCCAAGAGTGGTGGTGGCATGGCAAAATACAGGTTAGATTCAGAGAAAGAAGTCACAGAACATAAGCCTTAAACTACTGGTAGGGGATTTTTTTAAAAAGGAAAACAAAGTACCAGTCAAGTATAATTGAACTTAGCCCTTATTAATGGAAACCAAAAAAAAAAAAATAGCATTATCTGTCAGTACTTACAAGGGAAAGTTAGTATGGTCAGACTAAATGCAAGAAAAAGCTAACAGCTAAGCCATGAGAACTGAGAGAAGACTAACACAGCCTGAATGCAAGAATAGAATAAATTTATAGAGTATACAGCAAAAATGGAATCATGGATATGCTCGGCTAGTTTGAAGGGGCTACAAAGCGATATTACCAACACAAACATGATCATGATTGGTAGGCTCCAAATTGCAAGTAGCAAAAGATATCATGCTAGATTGATTGATGATAATTTCAGGAGCAAGAAAAGTAAGATACTTATGAATGTCCACAATGTATCTAGGTAATTTGATCCCCCCAGGTATCCACAGAAGTAAACCCAAAAAAAACTTTTTCCTCAACGGCATGTATACTTGTGTGAAAATACAAGTCAATTAACCATGATTATTGGAAAAGATAAACACTATAGAGCAGCCAGTAGACTGGCAGAAATGAACTGTAACAAATATTTCAACTAACCCTTGTGTTCTGATGGAACCAACCGTCCCTCATTTTCTAGGCCATAGTCCTACTGTCAGTTCAATATATTGTAGCAAATATTTCAACTAAAGCATTCATCGTATCTCTGAGCTCCTATTTTCAAGAATCATTTTACAGGGCACATGCTACTAAGCTTAGTACATCAGGTGCTCGAATGATTCATCTTTTTTCTTCTTTGAACTGTGTAAATGGTTACAGATGCTATTATATCTAATGTTAAAGCTGCACAATCCTACAAGAACATACTCGGTCACATTGAGGAAGAAATCTTAAATTGCATTGTCCAGCAGATATTTGAAATCAAGTGTTAATATGACATAGCATCCTCTCTGAGTAAATGTTAAATGCAATGCTCCCAGTTCCAATCAATAATGTATACAAAGCCTAAATAGGTGGAGCCAGTGCTCCTTACAAGGAATTGCAATGTACAACAAAGTCATCTTTACAAATTCATTTTTCCTAAATACATATTGAAAACCAAGATGATTACAAGGAGACCTGAGCTATACTAGCAAAATTTTACATTCCATGGTACTACACAAGGACTCTATGTTACAAATCTTGCCTTAAACAATGCCATGTAGCTACAAAAGATCACAACAGGGAGAAAAAAAAACAATTTTGTGTACATAACAAGTTACAAGAAGTGTAATGATACAAAAATACCGTTACATGATGTTAGCAGCATGTGACTACCAAACAGTACAATTAAAAAAGGGGGTTACAGTTGAAAAACAAACAGGGGATCAGATTAAGCTTCACTTACATCTCACATTCGTGCTACAACACATCGCCGGAGACACAAGATATTAGAACCACCACAGCCAGAAGCAGTAAGAAGATGCTAGCTGTTAACCACGCCAGTGTGCAAGTAAGATACGGCTCTGGATCATCGTTTGCCTCGACATTAGTAGCTCACCCAGCTATGACTACTGAGGTGTCATCCGCCTGCGCTTAGAGTGGTCAGCCTCCCTTGACCTGCTGCGTATCCCAGAAGACCTCCCCCTGTCCCAGTCCTCATTACGTTCTGAATCACGATCCCTGTGCCTGTGATAATCGCCATAGCGATCTCTGTCATCCCTATGCCTCTCTCTCTCCCTCTCCCTCTCTCTCTCCCTATCTCTGTCCCTCTCCCTGTCTCGGTCTCGGTCTCTTTCCCTGTCACGGTCTCTTTCCCTGTCCCTGTCATAGTCACGATTCCTCTCTCGGTCCATGTCACGCTCATCCCGGTGCCTCCTCTCTGGCCACTCCTGTGCAGGCGGCGCATCCTTCTCCCTTTCACGCCTCCTCTCTGGTGCACCAGACCACTCCCTCTCTGGTGGCCTCTCTTTCCCATGGCTCCCTCCTTCTCCATACTGCTGATCAGAAGCTGCGTCATCCCCGTAACTTGATTGTTCCTCCCCACCCCAGGCTCCCATGTTGGGATCAGGCCACATTCCACCGGCACCCATTCCACCCCGACCAAAGAAAGCTGGGTTAACATGTGGAGCAACAACCGGCGGGAATGGTTGCATCAGCCCAGGGAATGGCATAGCCCCTGGTCCACCAGGAAAACCGCCAAATCCACCACCCATCCTTCCCATAGCACCGTAACCAGCAGGATCAAAACCCTGCCCCAGCATTCCACCCGGCGGCATCATTGGTGGTGGCGGTGCAACCATCCCCCCATTCCCCATTATCCCACGGCCGCCACCAGCTGGGCCCATCCTATTCCTCATATTACCAACAGGGCCTCTATTCCCCATGCCTCCACCACCTCTTCCCCAATTTCCACCGCCTCCACCTGCCCCACCACCGGCACCAGGTCCACCAGTTCCTCCACGGCCTCCACCATAATTACCACCCACCTGTGGCCCTGCGGCACCACCGCCCCCTCTACCACCCTTCGGCTGCATATTCGATGTCTGTGCAGCCATAGCCTGCTGGCTCTTCACCTGTGCCTCGCCCATGCGACGAACGGAGTTCGGTGTGGCGAATGCCACAATACATGGACGGCCATTAAACGCGTGCCCGTTCATGCCCTCCTTGCAGGCAGCAGCTGCACCAGGGTCATAGAAATCGACCTGGCAGTAGCCCTTGGACTTGCCACTGGCCTTCTCGTCGAAGAACCTCACCTCCTTGACCGGACCATACTTGCTGAGCTCAGATTCCAGATCCGCGTCCGTCGTCCACCAGTGGAGTTCCCCCACGAACAGCGTCGTGCCGCCAGGGCCGTCACCCCCACCAGCAGGGCCACCGTTCCCGACCACGATGGGGCCGCCGGCGAAGTTACCTCCAGGGCGGTTGATCCCATCTCCTTGCTGAATCTGGTGGTGCTGAGGCGGCGGCGGCGCGGGCGCGGCCGGCGGCTGAGGCGGCGGAGGGAGGTTGTTCTGGGCGGGAGGTATGCCAGGAGCAGGGACGGCCACCCCCGGGATGCGTACCTGCTGCTGCGGCGGTGGGACCTGCGGCAGCGGTGGTGGGAGGGTGTGGGCCGGCGGATGCAGCTGCTGCTGCGGCGGCTGCTGGGGCGGCGGAGGGAGCTGGTGCTGCTGCGGCGGAGGGGCCTGCTGATTCGGAGGCTGCGGCGGCGGCGCCTGGTGGGAGGCGTGGAGGAAGCCGTCCCCGACGTTGACGTCGTTGTAGAGGTCGTCGAAGTCGTCGTCGTCGCCGTAGTACTGGTCGACGTCCTGGACCGCGGAGATGGCCTCGTTGCGGTGGAACGCCGGGTCGCCGTCGGGGTCCATGGCGGTGTCCTAGGGTTAGGGTTTTCCGGATCCGAGTGGGCGGAGGGAGGCGGGCGGGGAGGTGCAGGTGGAGCTGGGGTTGAAGTTGACACTCTTGGCGCGGGCGCTGTGGAGGTGGGGGCCCTGCTGTCGGTATGTTCGTTTGATAATGGGCTTCTATGATTCTATCCAATGGGCCGTAACGTGCTGTGGGCTTATGACGAGCCTGTCAATCCCAGTAGAACTACGCTCAAACGTCGACATCTTCTACACTCGGAAAAGCTCAAAAGATTGTTCCGAGGAAGGGAGCCAACTAAGGCCTCGTTCGTTCCGTTCGATCGAGTTTCCTTCGATAATTTAAATAGCGTCCGAATAGGGTTTTAGCCAGGAACGGAAATAACCAAATTAACGGGCCCTAAGGCGAAAGGGAACCGACTAAGGTGAGTGTGCTCCCATCCGTGAGAACGTTGGTCCTCTCCTCCTTCGGTGGCTGCTGCTTTGGCTTTGGTTGCTTATGGGATCGATGTCGTTTTCTTTGCACGATGATGTAGATTAGGTCCTAGTTTATCTAGCCTAGTGTGTTCGGATGGCGACAGTGCAGGCAGCGGCTTCGATGGCGCCATGGATTAAGTCACTCTGATCATGTCCCCGTCTCGGCGGTGCTTACCCTAGGGCTGGTGAAGGATAAGGGTTGGTTCTCCGAAGTCTGGTGCCTCGGCAGAGTTACCAATTTCTGGTTGCTCTTGTAAAGGAGTCTAGTGCTTCGGTGGCCTGGTTATGCGCATATGAAAGAGTAACTGTGGGTTTCGAAGTATGTGGATTTGGTGTCTCTTGTTGCCCTCCTGAGGCAAGCTCGGATCCATGGCCAAGGAGGCACGGGCGTGTCCCCGACCCATGGATTTTAGTGGTTTTCATTTACTTGCCTCTTTGGGCGGGGCTCTTTGCGGATCTCTTCGAAGCTTTCGAGCGATGGTGTCTTCTTTGGTTTGGGGGTGCTGGCATCCCCTACCGTCAAACCTGGGCTTGGTCAGTAATGGCGATGGTGGTGGATCTTGACAATAGTGGTCATCGTTGTCAGATTTGAGACACTCTTTATTTTGGGTGTCTTTTATTGAAAAAAAAAGAAACTAACTCACGAATCACTGTCATTGGACTAGAGGTACCGAGTTATTTCTTCCTACATATAGCACTTGGACATCCTAGATAACTTTGATGGTATCTGCATTTCACCCAGGAGCATGAACAGAAGCACAAACTCGAAGTGACACTGACACTGTGGTCAAGTCTAGTCAAGCTCGCAAACATGTCTGCATACAGCCGCAGGATCTGAGAGAGGGCACAACGGTTGCAAACAAACGGGCCAAAAATACCCGCCATTTTCCCCCGCGGGTCTCCGCATGGTGCGCGCCACCCACCGGGCACCGCCACCGTCGCAGGCGCACGAGAGGAGCCCATGCATGCATGCAGCACGACACGACGCGCAGAGAGACCCCCAAACATAGCCACTGACTCCACCGCGTTTCTCTCGCCGGCCGGCACGTTCCCCTTCGTCGTCGCCTATATAGCTCCCGCGGCGACGCTAGCAGCTTGCATGTCGTGACACTGCACACCAGCCAGGAAACGATCGAGCGAGCACAGGCACGCACACACCATGGCCCGCGCTCTCGCCCTCGCCGTCTTCCTCCTCGTCGTCGCCTCCGCCACCGTGGCGTTCGCCGTGGAGGCCCCGGCCACCTCGCCGAAGCATTCGGCCTCCACGCCATCGAAGGCGCCCAGCACGGCACCCGACAAGTCCGACAAGGCCCCCACGGCGTCGCCTGAGAATGCTGCGGCGACGCCTAAGGCGACCCCTGCCAAGGCCCCGGCGGCCGCCGCCAAGTCAGAGGAGTCGCCTTCCGAGGCGCCTGCCTCCGGGTCCGGCGCCGCGTCGTCACCTAGCGAGAGCGACGCGTCGGAGACGGCCCCCACCGATGCCCCCAAGGACTCGTCGGCCAGCCCTTCCGCATCCCCGTCGGGAGAAGAAGTCGCCGCGTCGCCCGACAGCAGCGGCGGCGGTGCCGCCTCCGAAGAACCTTCTGCCAGCGAGGCCAGTGGCGCCGCCGAGGAGCCATCGATGGCCGAGGCCGGCGGTGCATCCGCTGACAGCCCGCCCGAGCCTGCCCACGCTTCGGACTCGCCAGCGGAGTCTCCTGGCCCGGCCGCTGATCACGAGAGTAGCAGCCCGAGCATGGGCACCGGTGTCGCCGCGACAGTGCTTGCCACGGCCGCCGCCTCCGCGATGCTTTCTTTCTAGACGGCCGCGGTGGCTCTGATGGCATGCCACCACCCCAGATTAGGACAATACTTTAGGTTCAAAATACCTCGTCATTGTCGGATTTTGAATCGGCACAACCAAACCGGCAGTGATGAGGGTTAGCTATCACTGTCGGTTCCTACAAACCGGCAGTGTTATGCAACTTCACTGCTGGTCCTTTACACAACTGGCAGAGTTCAGTTTCCACCAACACTGCAGGTCATGAGACCACCCGTAGTGTAACCTCGAATATCACTGTCGGTTTGTGTCTTTAGCCGGCAGTGTTGTCGTAACCAGCACTGCCGGTTTGGGGCAAGACCCGACAGTGATGTCTAAGCCAACGCTGCTGGTTTGTCGCTCAAGCCAGCAGTGCCATCTTAGCCATCACTGCCGGTTTGTTGCTAACCGGCAGTGATGGTCCATTCGCATTTTATTGTTTTATAATTTAATTTAATTTATATTTTTTATAGAATCGGGTTTCGCTTTATATACGCTACGTAGACGACATGTCCATCAATATTAAACATTACAAATATTACGGTTACAGTTCAAATGTTCTTATAAGATCTCGATCCTCAAAATAAAAAAAGAATTATTCGATAAGATGAATCATGCTTCTTGGACTTCTTATAATAATCTAGTGAGCCGCTCTGGGACCATACTGGTCCTTAAACTTCATGAATTGTGCAATGGAAAATACTTTATCTTTTTTCAATACCTTGGCTAAGATGAATTTTGCCAGCGACGATTGCAGTGTGACGATCTCCATATCTAACAGCCTTTCGTGGTTATATTTCTTGCGCTGTCGTTAAAAAAGATGATCAGTAAATCATTTTGTTGAATTATTAACAGACATAAATGAAATGGAGATTATACACACCAACTGATCTGCTTCTTCCAATTTCCCGCCGATGTAGCGAAGCATTGCCCACATTACATAAAATCCGCATTCATTGTTTTCCGCCGGCTGTTTTAGATACTTTCCCTCCATTTCGACAACCTTGAATGGGACGTGCGTCAGACCGATATGTCTTCTTCGGACACTGTACAACATTAAAATGAGGAACATTAGAAACCGGTATGTGTGATTAGAAAATAATATGTTATTAGGATCGCTTACTAATTGATTAGCGTGTGTGGCTAAATAGCCACATGGTACTAAAGTTACCTGACCATCTTGGTCATTTTGACCCAGCTCGAGCAGACTGGACGGGGTCCATAGCTACTCGTTCTCACCGTCCTGATTGACACCATCACCGTTTGTCAGATCATGCGGCTCTCCCGTCTCAACGATATCAACCGCTTCTTGTTGCCGATCTGTTCTTCGGCGACGGGGTAACAGGCGACGACGAGTCATGGCTATGACACAATCGTGGTTAGTTTTGGCTGTGGACAACTACTAATAGCATATGCAAAAATAAAGAGAACAGAAACTTAGCATCAAACACAAACACCAAAATAATGCAGCAATTCCAAAAATGAGATGGAACCTAGTTGGGGAAGCTTCACAGAAAACTAACTCATTGCAAGTGGTCACCCAAGTCACAAAAAAGGTACAAAACCAGTTCCTATCCAGTCTTCTGATGACACCAACTAGGATACAACATCAATAAAACCATCACGAGATAACACACGCTGCTGTAAATTAATACATGTACTGCAATTTACACCTTCTATATTATACCAAGCGGCTTTGATTTAACTGTCGTACCCGAATTCCGGTGCATGTTAACCGGACAACAAATTTTAACAAACTATTACTTCCAATTCACACCACGGTATGAAAACACGCACAATTCATTCCACCACAATATACTCTCGTATCAATTGAAGCTCGTATGCAAGAAGGAAGGGGGGAGGGCAGAGCCCAGGTTGGCCTCGGCTAACCTAACGGGTATTTCATCAAACACATAGCGGGCAGTGAGCCTCGGCTAACCTAAAGGCCTTGGCGGTGGGAGTGCAGGCGTGGAGGAGAAGGGGCACGGCCGGCGTTGTGGACGAGGAACTAGGGCACGGACGGCGTGGTGCTCCGACGTGGGGCGATGGACGGCGTCGCGGGCGCTGGCGTGTGACTAACGGGGACGCATCGAGGGGATGCATGGGCGTCGGCGTCGAAGAAGAGGAGCACGGGGCTAGGAACGGCGACGCAGGGGTGGTGGACGGGTGCACGGGGGGCGGTGGTGCCCGTCGACGCGGGGTGGTGCTCCGGCGGCATGGGGGGAGGGGTTGCCGCAGGGTTGAAATGACTTTGGAAAATTTCACCCCACGCCTTGCTTTTATCCCAATGGCCCATCACTGCCGGTTGCAAGGTCTAAACCGACGGTGATGAGGCAACATCACTACCGGGCCATGCCTGGACTCGATAGTGATGGGGGTGTAGCGGTTACGGGTTAAGTAGCATATCTTTTTCCTTTCTTTCAAAATCCTCTGACTGGCGCAACGGTTAAGACCGTGCAATATAGCCCCCGAGACTCATGTTCGAGTCCCATACGACCCATTTTTTTGGTTTAATTTTATAAATTATTAAACGCTCTAAAAGGTTAAAAAGAAAAAATAAAATAAGCCTCGACACATCTCCTCTACTAGCGCAGTGGTTAAAACTCAGAACTCTGGTCCCCGAGACTCGGGCTCGAACCCGAGGGCTGGCATAATTTTTTTTTAATTTTTTATAAATCACTGCCGGTTTTCAAAACGAACCGACAGTGATAACTAGCATCGCTTTCGGTTTCGTTTCATCACTGCCGGTTTTTTGAAACCGACAGTGATGTTTATATATATATATATAAATCCTTTTATATACTGAATAAATAGAAGCATGTGTATTCCTATGTCGAAATGACTTAAAAAATTGGCAAGCATGTTCACCCAAAGTAAGACCCCACACAGGATCTTAGGTTTTTTGATCAATTTTTTATTTATTATATTTTTCTGTGTGCTGAATGAGACAAAAGAGGGTGAATTTCATCTTGGACCCAATAGTTTTTTTCATCGGCCTCCACAAAATCTGAATTTTGCTCCCAACGGCTACTTTCTCAGTGGGGCTTATAAATAGACCCCTTCAATCGACCATTTGAGAAGGTGGAGCTGAGAAAACATATTAAGGGTTTTGATACACCATTTTAGTGATCTCCACTTGCATAGTGCTTAGTGATTCATTAGGTGATTAGCGTAGGTGCTTTGCGAAGTGCTTAGGTTGATTAGACCACCGCTTATGCGCTTGCTCTAGGTTTAGGGCTAGTGTTTACATACCTCTTACCATTCGGTGCTTGTGCGTACCATTGTTGTATATCGGAGGGGCTTGTAATATTGCGAGATCACACTAACTGTGTTTGTGGTGTGGCCACCACCATGTACTAGAGGGAACAAGGCCCGCTGCGGTTCGGCCGGAAGCTTGATAGTGAAGATGGCGGGGAGAGGTCCAGGAAAGGCTTGCCGGAAGGCACACCAAAGACCCACTTACGCGTGGGGAAGGCCGCGGGCTATCCACGGAGTTACCAGACCGGGAGCTTGGTCCTTACGAGGGATTCTTTGCGAGGAGCTCCAACGAGGACGAGGTGAAAGCTTGCGCGCTTCTCGATACCTCGGTAAAAATACCGGAGTCGTCGACGGGAGTTTGCATATCTCTACCTTACTCTTTAGCTTCCGCATTTACATTATTTGCATAACTCCTTTTATGGTAGAGATAGCAATACACTAGCAAAATTATAGTTGCACATTTAGATAGTTTATATTTTTGCATAGGTTTTGCTAAGGTTAGCAAAAGAGGCCATAGTTTAGAGTTAGACTTTTAAGTTGCCTAATTCACCTCTCTCTTAGGCGTCACGGTCTCCTTTCAGGCTCATCTCCCGGCGGTGCGGGCACTCGGGGCTCAATATACAGATATCCCCCACCTTCTTTCCTCTCACCTCATCTCCATGATGAGGGGCAGTCTCACCGGGCCTACAGGATGGCCCGACACGGCTAAGGCCACATCCAATGCTATATGGCTGGTAGTCCAAGAGTCCACATCCGTGCAATGCATCCAGATCAACTCTGCTAGTGGCATTGCGAGTTGTTAGGTTACCTACAGGAGTGATGACTTCATCTGACATAAAGCACAAACCACTGCTTAAGTCCACGTTATAGGCTTGTAGCTAGCCGAGTCATGCCCTTTTGTCAGAACCAAAAGAATCTCTCGTGATAGAGAGGACTGAAAAGCAACATTTCTGTTGTATAGAATAGGTGTATTGGTCTGCATTGAGAGTTTGATAGCCTCGAGTCTTAGGCTGCGTTTGGTTGCGCTCCAACTAGCTCCGGCTCCTTCCCAGACCAACATGAAACCAGGAGGAGCTGGCAAAGTCACACTTTTGGGGCTCCGCCATAGGAGCAGGAGCTGGCCGGAGCCCCACCAAACGCGCCCTTACTCGTTTCAGTGAACATCAACTTTTTAACGAGATCTGCTTTTAAGAAGATCTACATTACTGCTATGACACGATTTAGTAGTAAGGTTGTACCGACCGACTACCCACAGAGCCGTGCGCCCGTGCCATGTGTGGTGACGCTCATTTGGCCATCTTTAACCACTAGCTGTGGCGTGCGGCTTCTCTGTTTCTTCGCACTAGTTCACTTGGGCGATGGCCGAGACTCCTACATGCGTGACCCTGTCCGAGTCGTGCGAGGGTCATGCGTGACCACGCGGCAATACGAGCTTGGCACGCCTAAAGTTGAAGGGAATGACCTCCGCTAAAAGGAAAAAGTCCATTTTTTGCCCTCCAACTAAGGTTGCAGTTTTTTTTCTAGCCCTCTAACTCGAAAACCAAACACGCGCAGTCTCTTAACTCTCAAAACCAGTTAAAATTGGCCCTCGCACCCATTCGACCACAGTTTCCGCCCAGTCAACCCACCACAACCGCGGTTTCGGCCCAGTCTTCATGTCTGACAGGCCAAGTAGTCATGCACTCTCCTCTCACTCTCGTTCCTTCCTCAACCCCGAACCCTAACTCTCGACGGCGGCAACAACA